TGTAAGACGCAATTTTTCACTCAAATATTTTCTTTTTTAAAGATTTCATAAGGCACACTCAGCATTTCAGCAAAGCCAAAAAAAATATATGTGATAAATATATTTTACTGTTGAGTGAGTAGTCATACAACAATAATAATGAAGTAAAAAATAGAAAAAAACTATTCTAACATGTAACAATTAATGGATTCGCTGTTCCAAAAACTTGCAGAGTGTTACAAGATGGTACTTTTTTATAAGCCATCCGTCCGTCCACCAACACAGTAAAACCGATTTCCGATACCTAGGAAACACTAAACTGGGACACGTCAGATTATACGGATTACTCACGAGTTCTTCCTATTACCATTTGTTGACACGCACGTGCTGAACAACACTTCACTCCTTAAGAAAGTGTACGAAAATGCTGCGCTGACCGTTTCGACCCAGAAGTGTAAGTTTTTTTTGGAGCACCATCCACAAACTGCTAGACACATGAGAAAAATGTATAAGTAGCACGTGACGATATCCGCAATATCCCGAATAAAATATATTTTATCATTTTCATATACAATAAACATGTCTTTTCTATGCAGAAAATTTCGATCTCATGTACACATATCTATGGCATCTATGAATATTAGAGTTTGTGATAGGATTACAGCAATTTATAGTCAGTCGGATGGCTTATTTATATTAACCTTCAAAAGTTATCGGAATCCTTTTGTAATTTTCTTTTGCTAGATGCTAATCCTTTAAAACTTTTGATTTTGAATTTATTATTCTGCCTAAACCAATCATAATAATTAAATATTGGTAAATTAAAACGAGTTCGAAAATGTCATCTCTATACGCAGATATAACACAAATTCCGAAATGATCAAACAACACACAAAAACTACAAAAAAAACTATATATCAACAAATAAGAAAGTTATATTCGATGGAGCCGAATCTCGCATACCAACCACTATGCTTTTTGCATTCTACTCGCCATGTTCTTTTATTTAATACCCATATCGCTGGTATTATTAAAAAAAAATGAATCCACCAAGGCGCGGTGTTCCGCTATTTTAGGCCTTGTTTGCTTAATAATAAATAATCATGAAACTTCAAAAAAGTGAAAAAAAGATATTTAGTCGTTTGTAACTTTGTGTGAGAATGGTCGGTTTTTCCCATTTTTGCACGTAAAGTGTAGAGTGTTTCACAAAGTAAATGCGAAAAATTTGAGGCTTTTACCTTTTATAATTTTTAAGTGATGAGCAAAAACCCGCAAATGTGCGTTAAGAAAGACGGAATTACGTTTATTTTACGCTTTACTACTTCTGCTCTGACCCATTTTTAATACCAACCTGCGTGCAAAGACTTCCAGTGTTTCTACAAAATTTAAAGTCGACATCTTCGCTTTTACGAGCAGGAGAGAGCCAGCAATGTACATCATACCGATACACAGACGGACCGGCACGGCTAAATCAACTCACAATTTTGCGCTGACCAAGAACATGCACACTTTATAGAGTATCTGAAGCTTCCTTTTGGGTAACACATGCATCATGGAAAAAACAAAATGTGGTGGGTATAAAAAAAAGTAGAATTATATTTAAAAGCTATCTTGTATATTTTGTATATATTTTTTTCACTTTTCCAATTCTTGAGGAAGACACCAGGCATTGATGATAAGTTCGTTTATATAATTTCATCATTCGTTAACCTTTTTTTTTCAATTACTTGTCGTGCAGCTTCTACATAAAAGTGCGCAGATAATTATTAAAAAAAAAAAAAAATGTTTAGCGCCATTGTAGAAAGAATTGTCATTAAATTCTTTAGTTATCTGTTAAAACGCAGGACAAACAAAACCACTAGACAGCTAAAGTCTTCTCTTAATTTATTATTAATTAATTTAATAATAAGAAAAGAAAAGAGATAAAAACATTGATAAGTACAATCATCAGGTTGGAATATGAATCTTATATTAAATTACTAGGTACGGAGAAACTAAGCTTCGAAGTCCCTTAACTATTTTAAATTTACGTCATTCCCGCATTTGCCTATGTCTCTCTCTACCGCGACGATATATACATGAACAGATCTTTGTACTGAAAACTTTAATCCAAAGTATTGTGCAGTTTTTGGAAATACTCCCATGTAGCCATGCGTCATCGTTCAATACAAGTAATAATAGGAAAAAGCCAAGTCTGGCGAATAGAGCGAGTCCCATTTCACCGTTTGATATCCTGAACGATGGAAGTGCATTAGAACTGAGCTTTTTGTGCCGCAGTCAATATCACTCATTCGTGTCTCGTTTTCTTTTTGTGGCCTTTTTTTGGTCAACCCATTCTTCAAACTGACTACTTATTGCCGACAACGATGCTCACTGCCACTTTAACTTTGTTTCAGCAGTTTATAGCGCACAGTTTCTTTCTGACCTCAACACATGCCGGGCATTGTCTTTTTCGAACCGATTTTGTCGTACAGTCGACATTGATGTTTCACTAAATGGAAGCCACTGTTTTTTTTTCATTTTCAATTCTTGAAATATATCCACCTCTCATTAATAATTCGAGGCATGTAACTCTTTTCCTCGTGCTGCAAAAGCAATATTTCGGAAGCAGCTTTCCGAATTTCCGTCTGTCTTTCTAAATTGGGTCAATCCGTGTGACATCCGTTTTCTTTCTTTTAAAATTGCCTTGAAATATGTTGCGTGAGCTTTACTTAAAGGCTTTGCAAATTGATTTTGCGGTTTCGAGCCATCTTCATCCAATAAGGCTTAAAAGTCTTCGTTCTCAATTCTTCTTAGTCTTTGGCACCACTGCTTGCCCGAAATCATCACTTCCGGAGGCAGTTTTCGATGGCTGTCGCATTCCATTAAATAAAAACATTGCCACACCGCTTCCAATCTTATTTGTTAGCAAAAACCAAGAAATTTCATATTTTAAAGATCGAGGTAACAGAGAGAAGTATGATTGTTAGCACTTTATCGCAACTCTGATGCTTATTTCCATGTATTGTAGATGTAATGGAAAAATAACTGATACTCAATTTTTGGAGTGCATGTGCAACAAGGAAGAGACAAATATATATTCAGAGTTTCAAATTAAGGTATTACTTAAAGGTATTTTGCCGGTTGCAAGCGTAACACCTTGTTGACCGCAACGTTTTTTCTGCTAACCAATACAATTTACGAAATTTTAGTTTCATATATCTCACGGCTCGCAATTTAAAGCGATGTATCTACTTCGATTTTAAGAGGTAATGTCCTTTATTGGTTCTGAGTTTTAGTTTTTAATCGTGGTTATAAGCGTACAATGCATACAATGTATACTCATCACCGAAAGAATAGGGAGATGCGTTCATTTTGGCAAAACGAATGCAGCAATAGCCAAAAGGAAGTGGCGCTATAAAGTATACCAATTCTTGATCAGTACAAAATTTTGAATCGATTCAAAATCGATTCCTCCTCTGTCCCACCGTCCTTTTATATATCCATGTGCTACGAAAATTCTTCGGGGCAAAAAAAAATTGATTCGGTCACGCCTACAGTAAAACATCTAAGCTGAAAATCTCCGAATTGAATTTCTTGTTACTTACTCGCACAATCAAATTTCCACGTATCTTTTCTGAGTGATTCTACAAGACCTTTCCAAAAAAAGGAAGAAAAACAGCCACAGCCGCTAAATATTATAGAGCATTGCATTGTCATTTTTCTTTTAGGGTAAATACATGGTTGATAGACAAGATTTAGCCTAAAAAATCTAGCTACATCACCATAAGAACTCCAAGAACGAACGAGAGATAGTTTTCTAGGGAAACCAAATCAATTTACAAATCTACACTTACCCGGAAAGTAGACATATACTAATAGAGCGAAAGCATGGGTTTTTGTCAGTTTAAATACGGCTCCGAAGTACGGGATATTCCTGTACTAAATTTACCACAAAAGTGGTACCTAACCTAATCATTTCGTATTCCCGACTTATACATAGGGACAGCATTGTCCGATTTCTTTTCTGACCTACGGATATTGGTATGCATTGGCCTTAGTTTGTATCCACGTTTTGGTGGTGGCTATAAAAATTAAGAAAAAAGCGTACAAAAACATATAAAGCATTTTGCAAAAAATGTAATAAAATTGTCTAAATAATTATTTCTATTAAAGAGACCCTATTGTTTGATCGAATCAAACAAGTTTGGCAGCAGATAATTTCCTAACGAGAAAAGCTTAAGACATTTTTCATAAGCGCAATCGCTCGAATATTGATTTTAATGTCCGCCTAATATTTCAAGCCCAATTTTCAGTGTATTGTTTTCGAAAATTTCAGTACAGAGTCGAATGCTGTTGTAATAAAAACGAATTTCATGCTGCCAGGCATAAAACCGATCGATAACAAGTATAGAAAGTGGCTAATTGAAGCAGTGTTTAGTCAACTTGAAGTTTGCTTTGTATTTCTCATTTTTTACAAAATATAGTTATAGTATAGTAGAAGAAATCGCAGAAGGAACCACTAAAAGCCTTGACAACATTAAATATATTTACAGGGAAATTCAGAGCGATTATAGTTAGTCTTTCCTTCCGTACTCTTCTTGTATAAAACCTTATCGCAGAGCACATTTCTTCTTACGATTTGCCTAAAATGTTGCTTCTCTACTTTTCTTTTTTTTAGTTATAATTGATTTTCTCCCCACAAATGAAATTAATGAATGAAAACTGAATTAAATTTGCAGACGCCGACATAAACGTGCACACAGCGATATACGTAAAGACGCTGTATACACACATACACTAATATAATTAAGAAAATGGTTTTTCTTTTTTTTTTAATGATAACTAGCAGGTGATTAATGACTGAAATGTAAATATACTGAAAATGTGTTCTGCAAGTAATTCATATGAATACAAGAAAAAAACAAATATTTACTCCACACACCCTCCACTATATTATATAAACCTACCCCTTTTTCGGTTTTGTTTTTGATTAAAGCCAACATTGAGTCTCAAAGGAGCCAAACAAAAATTTACTGGTGTTTCGTGTTTTTTCTTTTTTCTATTTTTTTTTATCCTTCGAACCCAAAATAAGGAAGTCTCTGCTAAATATTGAATTTTCGTTCAATCTTTCAAAACCAGCAGCTGGCGTATGTTACGGTTTCGATACAACAAATTCTATTGTCACTATCGTTGCTGTTGTTGTTGTTATTAAATTTTTCTCCTTTCACTTCGGGTGGAGGCAGAGCAGCATGGGTATGATTCACTAGCAATAGCAGAGTTTCCTCGACAGCCAACGTTTGAGTACTGTTGTTAATTGAGGTTGGACGCGCAGGAATTGTTGTTGTCTTTTCACATTTATCAGCTACTTTCACAGTGACTATGAGGCTCTGCCTTTCTCACGAAGACCGCAGTAGGGAATTGTATATAGTTTTTGGGTTTCTTTTTAACAGTTTGCTTATCTTACAAAAATCTGTAAAAAAAATTAGTAAAGGAAGAAAATAAATGTTTAGTTGCAATGAAAAATAAGAATGAAACAAAAATAGCAATAAGGTTATAAAAACATTATTCCAAACAAGCACTAATATGCTGCTATTTGCAAGTAAAAATTTCCACATTTTGAACATTCAGGCCATAACTTAAGAGACTCGTTTGAACTAATAATTTGGGTTATTGTCAAACGATGTAAGTGAAAAGAATTGAAGATATATTTAAGTAAAATCTACATTGACAACAACAATGGACGATGTTTTGCAGTTAATAAAAAAATTTCGAAGGACTAATTGTGGGTCTTTTCGAAAGAAATAAAAGTTTTAGTTGATCATACACCCATTGATCCATTTAGCTGAATGTCGAACTTAAGAAGAATGGAAACGATACGCTTGGCATTTCAAATTTGGTATATAGGTCATATAGGTATAATTTGATGATTCTAATCACAATAATACAATTTGTCCTGGTTTACGTGCTCATAGCGAAGTTTATAGGACTTCCATTGTGTGTATCCACGGTTCACAAAAGTTTGACAGGAGTAGCTGAGTATATAAAAACCATGACTCGTGGATTCAAATCTCAAGTGCGATGGAGTTTACTTTGATCCTAACAACAATGATTACTCAGCCCGTAAAGGCATAGCACTTGACGATTGTGTGAACAACTACTAGAGTGCGGCCACCACCTCTCCGTTTCCATCTCACACTTTGTGGTAAACACTTCCTGAATGATATACAGTAAAAGTTCCTTATTCGCGGTTTCACTATTCGCAGATGAAAAAAATGCGACCAATTCCCGTATTCTTTATTCGCGGTTTTTGAGAATGTAAACAAACAGAATGACAGGAACCTTATTACTCAATGAATAACGTATTGTTGCGAAAATCCCAAAACTATTTCATTTCAGCTAAGTAATTTCTCCAAATAACAAATTGCCTAAAGAGGGGAAAACTAAATGCACATTCGCATTAAATTAAATTGATTTTTTTATATATTTGATTTTTTTTATTTTGTCACCTAGGAACGTGTCCCCTATAATCCCATATAAACTATCATTCCGTATTCACGGTTTCTGTATTCGCGGCATTTTATGGAATGTATCCCCCCGCGAATAAGAAACTTTTACTGTATTCTGCAAATGATGAGTGTTAAGAATTTCAGTTTAATGCGCTTTGGTTTAAATACTGCACTATTTAAGCAAAAGAATTTCAATATTAAAACTCTTGTTGCACCTCTAATTGATATTTACGAAACCGTTAAACGCTTAGAAAGGTATTTTAAATGCATTCCCCACGCATATCTGATAACGTCGCAAGTCTCTTCAACTCATCTCGGCAACTGCTGATCATCAACATCAATATCATAAGTCGTATTTATATCCTAACTTATAACTTATTGAATAATTTCCCATTTTTTTTTTTTTTTTTTTTTTTTTTTTTTTTTTTTTTTTTTTTTTTAAGTGTTTTCGAAATGCATGCGTTAGAATGTAAGTTTTAGAGAAAAAAACCATTCATCATCGACATGATATGCTATACGTGCCTCTTAATGCCGACTGAACCGCTTCTACTCTTCTACTTATAAAATAAATTAAAAAAATCGAAGCTAAAAACGTGCTTCTTTAATATACTCGTCTCGTTTAAGTTCTTAAAAAAAATAATATATATTTATTTAGAATTTTTACCTTCTTTTGGATCATTGTACGTTTCTTCCTTACTGGCTTGTATCTAATTTAAAGGAATTCCTAGAATTTTTAATCAAATTCCTTTTAACTTTAGAAAGCCGGTATTGCTAACAAACTCAAACAGATCGAAGCATTCTCCTCATTTTGCCTGTTCTGTTGCAATACTTTTTATACATATACTTTTGAAGGAAGCTGATGATAACTGGTTGTCCTCTTTGTTTCTCTGTCTACATATCTGCAGGTTGCAAGTTTACATTTTTTTTTTTTTTTTTTTTTTTAAAGAAACCTTTGTTTTATTTTAATGGCCTTCATCAGAAAATTATATAATAATTTTTTTATAATATTTGTAATACGCGAAAAGAAAAAGTATCAGATTTTTGTAATCGGAATTCTCAAATTGGTTAAATGAAGTAAATATCATATTATTGGTATATATATTCTTACATTCCTTATAAAAACATATGACTTTGCGGGTCCATAAGGTGGACGCTAATAACTAAGACTCTCAAGTAGCTCATACATTCGTTAGCTATAGAGGACGGGTGTCTAAAATTCGTTTTAAAGCGAACGTTGTTTCGGTTTTGTGTTTATTTGCAAAACGTCTTTAGTGGTTATACTGCTGCATATTTCTCTTTATGGCATAAGGAATTTAGTCTACAACTTTTCAAAAAAAAAAATTCATATTTTGCCATTTTTAACCATAAGGTAAGGTATCTAAGGAGATATTAAAAATAGAAAAGAAAAAGTTTAATACATTTAAATACTTTTTTTTGAAGTATTCTGTTTATATATTAAGAAAAATTTCCCAAAATTCTTCTCTGTAACGTGGATAAATAAATTTATCTTATTTAAGGGCAAACCAAAAGAGAAAATTGTTTGTCGTCCATAAAAGAAATTCATTATGATTTATATAAATGTATTAAAAATAGCAATTCTACAAATTTGGTATCAAGTGTACCGAAATTTACTAAAGAATTGGATTGGAAACCGTGTAGTCCGTTCGCCCATATATTTAAAGAAAATTTTGGAAAATGTTTGATCAAAGATTTTTTTAGGTGCATTTTGATTGCAAGATACATGCGAATCGCAATTAGATGTTTCTTTTTTGGTAGAATTGAAAAGAAACTCCATTGATTCCATCACGCGTTCCCGAAAATATTTGAGTAAGGTTTGTTAATCACTTCGCCTGTCCCCATGATTTGCAATGTCGATGACCATGTTATTTTCCCATAGAATCTTATGCCTTATTTCGAAATTCGTTATACGAATCCAAGTGGTGTAGGGTATTTAATGGTGAGCCTTGGCCCGCTACGGTCACTTTACTTGTTGTTGTTAATCGTAAATCTTAAAGGATTAGGACAAAAATGTACATAAGTAAAGTGTAGTAAAGGATCTTTCAAATCTCGCGCCTAAATATGATTACTAAACATTTCTTGAACACTACTTCTTTCTTAAATTGACATTTGCAACTGCAATGGTGTGCAATTTTATTTAAAGACACGTATGCAAGCGTTATTATTATTATGCTAGCATATTATGAAAACCAATGTTTTTTACAAATAGCATATCATAATATTTGTTTTTTCTTTAGTGTTGCAAATCTTTCAAATGAGTCAACAAAAAGTGCTAGTAGTGGGAAGTTTCTTGCGCTCAAGGTGGACTTGATGATTCAACAAACATGTATTCCTCAGCACTAATGTAGAGTGTAGAGTGTTTGGCGAATTTTTTACTAACATTATAAGATTTATATAAGACAAAAATTAAAAATATAAAACATTTGCAAGCGTTGAGTTTTCAGGTCAATTAATTTCACGATATTTTGACATTGAAGAGATTGCTTTCTTTAGGGTTTTTGAAAAGCGTAGTTTATATCAGTATCATCCAGCAACAAAATTGAGAAACCATACAGGAAAAAAAATGAATAGATTTCTTAATAATTCCATAATTCCTTAACTAACTCCAGGAGTGATGTCACTGTTATTTTTTAAAAAAATCAATTTCTCTTCATAACATACAAAAATAATGCACCTTAAAATTTTGAGTTCTTTCTCAAACGCTCCGAAAAGAGTATCTATGTCAATTAAATCCTGGTTGAAAAGTTACAACGCAATATTTTATCCGTTGATTTTTAACTCCTTCTATACACTAACAGATGTCTTCAGAAAGCATTTACGTTGAATTAAAATAAAAACAACGTTAGCGGACGGCGGAAAGCAACTCGATAGAATTTAATAGGCTGAAATTTTAAAAGTTGGTTGTGAATATGCTTGCCGCCTCCTTGTGCAAATTGTGAAACGTGCGAGTCTTTGTCTATGACAGCAGCGGTAACCGCCGCACCTTCTGAAAAACATGTTCGAGGAAAGAGAGTGAGGAAGAATATCCGAAGATAGTAAGATAGCTTTACAAATTAATAAGATCGCTTGCAGATTAATAAAAATGATATTGTGTTAAGAAAGGCGTCCCATAACACATGTCGAATCTTTAAAAATGTCTTTTGCTACTTCAAAGATTTTGATTTTTTTCGTCAGAGTTTTTCACAATATTCTTAAAGCAAGATTCCAAGGAGAAATCGAATAGTAGAACGTTTTCGATAAGTTAATCTCAACATAGTTTATTATTTTTTTGGTTAAGAATTTTAAATTTTGTATTGAAATACTTGCCAATCACACAATACCTAATATTTTTAAAATCCCCTGCGCGTTTCACTAGCGTATAGACATGTCGCGCGATAGCGGATGAGGCAGTTAGCCTCTTTCTTAATGTTTTTGGAAAATTCTTTTTTCTTTTTCAATATCTAAATCTGCGTAAGCTCCCAGATGTTTATTATTCTATCACCTTTCCTTTTGATTATATATTACGGTAGTCTTATTCCTTAAACGATCCAATGTGCAGAAAAGCTACAGAAAATTGTGATAGAGTAGTAACGGAGTCTGCAGGCAAACGCGATCATGGTGGATATTTGAGCGTTGTCATCTTTCATATGTATTTGCAATGAGCCATACTTTGATCTTCAATAGGAATTCCACAACTAGTTTCATTATTTCATGTTTTATTATAAAAAAAAAAAGAAAAATGTATATATATATATATATATATATATATGTATATATATACACATAAAAGCCTTTTGCCTTAAATTAATACCTATTGTTGTCGATTTTTTCTTGAAAATAAGAAGAAGAAAAATGGTAGAAATATTCCGCTGTTTTTCAAATTTCATGATTTTATTTTTATTTTTTCTCGATTGTACATCGTATAGTACAATAGGCAACGAACGGTATTTAAAATAACAGATGCTTA